GAAACAAGGAGACTTTTAAGAGGTGACTTCGGAAGGTAGAACAACCTGTCACAGGAATCACTCCTCCTCTCTCTGGTCCCTCGGAATGGCCATGGTCACATGAGTTCACATCACCATGTTGGAAATCATCCCGTTTTATAGGGCCAGACACTTGGGTAATAAATGTAAGGAAAACAAGCTACAAAATGCTATGTTTTTAAAGTATGATGTTATGATGAGCTGAGATCACTATAATTCATTTTCAGAAAATTGAACCTTAAAATAGTCCAAGAGGCATTTTAAAATTTCAGATGACAATCTGGTTTTCCTTCTATTTCTCCTCACAGGAAATAAAGAAAGAGATGAAGAAAGACCCTCTCTCCAGCAAAGCTCCAGAAAAGCCTCTGCACGAAGTGTCCAGTGGAAATGCTTTGCTGTCTTCTGAAACAATTCTACGAACAAATAAGAGAGGTATGAGAAAGGAGAAAAAGCCCCTTGGCCCTCCCCCTCCCCCCGCACACTAAAACTGGAAACTTCTGGGTAAACTGAGCCAAATTTTGAATTGCTGACAAATTGAATGGCATTTGTCTTTGTGTTTTTATGTAGAAATTTTGGGTGTGTATGTGTGGTGTGTGTGCATGTGGCTCTCACGGCAAGGAGAGGTAGAGTAACTATGATAAGGAGAACGGATGGCAAATATGTTGTGGTAATGGGAAGATGGACTCAACTTGTAAATGGTGGTTCTCTGGGACTTTAACTTTCACTTTCATCTTATTTTATGATTGAAAATGACTTTAGCAAGTGGTGTGGTGTAGGCTGAGTTGGGTGTGACTGGCCATCCTCTTTAATTAAGGGCAAGGTTTACCAAGGTCTTTTTCCACTAAACACTGGCCTCCCGAACAGAAACCTTGTCTTGGTTTCTGAGGCAGTGAAGGCAGAGATGCAGCTCAGATATTCATCTGACCAGGCAGATTTTCAGGTATCTTCAGCTTGAGTTTCATTTTCTCCCCTGTCCTCCACTTTACAACAATGTTGTTTGACATGACAGGAAATAGAAGATTGCAGAGTTCAACTTGACTCATTTTCACTGTGGTCACACTAGAACCCCCAGTTTTTCCCGCACCCGCCTCAGCATGAATTGACTTGGGTGCGTAACAAGCGTGTCCACAGTAGGTGATTCTGCTACTGGCTTATCATGGGCTTATTACTTCCTTAAAGAGAAATATAGAGCTGTCCAAAAGCTGGCACAGGAAGTGTAATAGCCAAGAATTCCATTAAAAAATGAAGGCAAGTTTACATAACCATGGGGAAGAACAGCTAATCTTTCATAAAATTTAGACAGCATAAGAATTTGTCCAATAAGCTGCCCATTGATCATAGTGATTGAGACATTAGCTTTGTGTCTCTCTTCCTTCCTGCTTCTTCCTCTCGCCCCTCCAGCTGCCTAGGGTTACATTTCCTTTTTTTTGAATTATTCAGATGAAGTATTGGCTGGGAGCCCCTGCTGGTTAGTAGCTATAAGGCTCTGTCTCTCTCTTTCAAATCCCATCCTACCCATTGTGAATGAAGAGTATGTAGCAGTAAAACTGTACTTGTCCCCCCAAGTGCCTCCTGCATTCCCCCAAATAAGTTTCAGGACTCCTGAGGCCTGCCCTCTCTGGATGTGGAGAGCTGGAGTTCAGGGTTTCTACCTCTCCATACCCATCTTTCTGCCCCTGAAGCCTCTTAGGACAGCAGGACAAGGGCTTGCATACCCTTGACCAGCAACGAGGCCTCTCTGGCCAGCCCTGTTTATATAAAGCAAATAAGAGAATTAGTTAAGGTAATTAATTTAACAAGATAAGGAATTAATTAAGTTAAGGAATCAGGGTAATTGTCTGGGTTAGTTTGGTAAAATTACCTGAGAATTTTTCATATAACTGTCTCTTTGAGTTCCCCTACAAAAGGATTTTTCATTAACCCCCCCCCCCAAAAAAATAAGGCTTTAGGAGGGGTGGCTTACTGACTTACATTCTTCTTGTAAGCCTCCACCTTAGATCTACAATGTGATTATGATCAACCTTTCATGCTAAGATGTTTGATGTAAGGACCCTGCCAGTGGCGGCGTTCTGTAAATATGAAACATAACAAAACACCTTCATCCCATCCCAGGCTCCATGCTGACTCCCCAGATCACCTGGGCCAAGCATGGATTTCCAGTTAAAGTGAAGCCCGTGTGGTTTGGGCGCTGCCCACATCCATCAGGGCTGAACTAAGTATCCTGCTACTCACAGTCCACAGCTGTGCAGAGACTGGCCTCCACAGGATAAATGTTTCAGTTTTCTCTGTCTCAAAAACTACAGTTCTTTGCCGCACCCCAAATCTATGAAAAACCACTATTGTTTTTTCTTCAATGATCAGAGGCTAATCTGTGGGATGATTGTAGTTATTTGTAAATACTTACATCCAATTAATTTTTTAAGTTTTATGAGTTATTGTAAGTAACTGAAATTTCCTCCTTCCCTTTGTTCCCATCAAACTTTGTCTCTAGAAATCTCATGGATGTTTTTGTCTATTGCTGCTTTTGTGGAGGAAGTTTCAGAGTTTAAGAACACGGGGCCTTATGGTTTATGAGTCCACCTTTAAGAGCTTCAGAACGGGGGACCTACGGGTATACGAGTTCACCTTGTGATTTAGCCATGGACCCTGTGAGAATTTAATTTAATAAGGTTCACACAAAGCCCTTATTTTCATCAAAGATGGGGTGACAGCTTATATGAGCCTTATAATTTGATAGAGATTTATAATATAAGAAAGAAAGAAAGTCTGTCTCTATTATAAGTCTAATTGAACCACTTCATTGTGTCCTGAACTTGAGAGTAGACTTAGCTGAAGAGGTTTGCCCAATTGTGTCCCACAGTTTCTGCATGTAAGGACGTGCCTCGCTTCGCAACAGTGTTGAATGTGTTGTAGCTCCTCACAGTGTGGGATGAGCTTGTCCTCCCTGGGCATCTGAATAAGGTCAAGAGATGATCCTGGGTCTGAAGAAAGCTATTCATAGCCTTGAGAAAAGACCAGGGTTGGGGAAACATTAGTTTGGGGACTAATTAGTTTCAATTTTTAGCTCTAACCTTTGCAGGTTTCTGCAGAGCTGATTTGAGGGGAGGTATTGGAATGACTCTGTGGGCTTTTCATTTGAGAAAAACATGTAACTGACGTTGAGAGTGAGCGAGCAGTTCCAGCAAGCAGTTCCTCCCGCTGCCTTCAGCTCTGTACTCCTCCAACTGTAGGGACCGTTGTACCTGCTCCTATCCTGGCCAGTTCTTCGGCCTTTGTCCTGGACATACTGATGGAGCTTCTGCTTAGAACAAGCCTTTCCCGAGGAATAGGAAGCTTGCAAAATCCTAACGTTGGATTTTGTCTATCCCAAAGTCATCCCAGGCGCCACTATGTTGACAAATAGCAGCCAGTAATTCCGAAAACCTTTCTTGGAGCTAAACGTCATTGTCATGAACCACACCGAAAAGCACAAGTTACTTCTGAGAATGATTTAGTCTCTTGTTTTTTTTCTATCCTTAAAACCACATAGGAAAACAGTGGGCCCTCCTAAGCTGAAACATTGATACCTACATGAATTAAAAAACAAAGTCAAACATTGAGCTTAAGAACAAGATGGAACAAAATGGACTGTTACACAGAATTACCCTAAATACAATTTTGCAACTAAGCCAGGAGAATTTTGTTCATCATGCTTCACCCTTCCAAGGGTTTCACCACCACCTTGATCTATATGATGGGTTGAGTGTCCAGATCACAGTTGGGCTAGCCTCTGAATAAAGCAGCTGCTATTTCAAGGCTCTGTCTCCTTCACGCTTTCACTATCAGCAGACCTGGAGAAGCTGCTGTCCCTGAACGCCCAGCCCCTAGAATTTGGGATGTTGTTCTCTCCTCACTGGGGTGGCCACAAAGGAACATTCAGTCGCATGTATTTCCTATGTGCCTGACCCTGTGCTTGGTGCTGGGGCAGAAGTACAGACTAGAAAAATGCCAGGCCGAATGCCAGGCCGTCCTGCCTGCCAGCTGTTTACAGTCCATGGTGTGTGTCACTTGGGGATTGTTGAGAAAGTGCTGCACATTCTTACCTCTTTTTTTTATGGCCAGGTGGGGCTATGTCTCTCTTACTTCTGTCATTCTGATTGTGAAGCCACTCTGCAGGTTTCTGGTTGGCTTTATATGTCCTTGTTTCTATTTCCAGTATTTCATGAATTCAGTGTTTGGTAAGTCTCTACTGTATTTTGCACACTTCTTATTTTCGCTATTATTATTGTTATGCTCTCGATATAAAATGTGTCTTACAATCACCTGCTACTTTGGCACCTGCCTTCTGAAAGACAAGCGCTTTTACCATGTTCATGTAAGGTTTGTTATGCATTTGCATTTTACTGCCCCTTCCAGAGAGGAATGCTGAAAGGTCTGAAGGTTTATCAGGGGGTATTTGTAACCCTGCAGCGCTGCTGCTACAAGATGAGGTTGGAGTTAAAAGCTAGTCTGTGGCTGTGACCTTAGAACACGGCTCTGGGCTCATTTCTTGTGTTTAGTCCTTGAGACAGGTTTAATTCAAAAGTCTTCCTTGACAGAGGGACCAACAGCTGCTTTGCCTCTGTTGACACACTATTGCTTTAAAAATGAGTGCAGAACATTCCTCAGAATTCATTTTGGGTGTGGATGGGTGATACACGTTCTCCTCAACATGGACGTGGGCCCAAGTGCTTGACACACGAAGGGCTTTCCATTTTGACCTGCCTGTAGCCGTCAGGAGAACCTAACATTTAGCTTTCTTTTCTCACAGTTTCAGCACTGGTCATTCCCATCCCTAAAAAGATCTGGTCATGGCAACCTCCGTCCGTGGTCTCTACAGAAGGGGAAACGTTTGGTCAGATGTTCATTTCTTTAGCATGTACACACTACTCCGAATAATGTTCTCAGGGCATCTGTCAGAGTGTTTGTGAGAACACGAGCGCGTGCGCGGGTTGTGCGCGGGCAGCGTGCTGGTCACTAGAGGCGGTGGCCTGCGCCGTGGTACATCGTGGGCTCTTCCTTTGAAATGAAGCTGTAAACAATGGATGGGAAAAGTGTTGTTAAGGTAGATGTGAGATCTGGGAGTGTGTTCATAGCAACAACTTTTACTTTTCAAATTTTATTTTGGATGGAAATGGATGGTAAATCAATGAAAGTTGTTAAAAAGAAAAACAAAGAACTTCTCTGGGAGCAACATGTGGATTTCCCACGGTTAACCAGGAGCCTGAACTTGTGTCATGTTAGGTCAGATTTTTCTTCAAATTTCCAAATTGCTGTTGATTTTACCTAAACGGCTGGCATCTATGGACAGATGAAAAAAGTACGAATTTAGAGAGGGTGTTACCGATGTGCAGAAGCTCTGGGCTGTCCCCTGAGCTGCGCTTTTCCAGAGAAACGAGAACGAGTCTGGCAAC